CAGTAATATAGTTCTATCTTTATTCAATTCTGGGGATAAATTGAGTTCATTGGGGGATAAACACTAAATTTTTGACATTCGTTGTTTTTTAGGTTATATTGAGGTCACTGGCGTATCATACGTAATTTCCATATGGAATTCCTGATTCAACTATACCAAGATATAGATGAACAATCCTCTAGTTTTAGAGTTTACTACTCCAGCATAATCTTTGCGATTTAGGGAACATATAAATTGTACTGAAAGCTCAATATATTTCACCAAAAGATACTGTTCTTAGACTGTATACCAGGGTCGACTGAATTCACTGAATAAATTCTGATTTCAAGCTGAGCCAAAGTTTATCTATGAGCTGAATGAGCTGAGCCTTATGATTGAGAAATGGTGGAAACCTCGATGTGGGTATCTGGACTACTGTACTCATGTCATGTGTGTTGAATATATTTTCAGGAATCCAACTCGGAGAAGAATTTATGGAGTAACTAATATCACACTATGTATAAAACTTCGTCTAGGACGAAAAGAAGGCTGATAAAAATTAATACGTAAAATGTGCAGGAAAATAAAGAATAGAATATACTTCACCCCCATGTTATACATATGATTTTTCCGTCTCAAATAAAGAGTCATTTTCGAATAATTTATTGATGAAAGTAACAAAGAAGTAGGTATACAATAAGTATACGCAGTATAACTTATAGGCACGTTATTTTCACTCTTGCATCCTGGATCCGTCATCTTGAATATCCCAATTTTGACGAAATAATTATAATCTCCGACCCCGGAAACCCCAGATACCAATTTTGATTGTTTGAATACAATCGAATCATAATTACAAGTTTCGTTCGCCATATTGAATCCGCCATCTCTTGAATTTCCCAATTTTGACAAAAAATCATAAGAGTTCGACCCCGAAAACCCTCAGATACCAATCTTTCAAATAGAATCAGATTATAATTAGAAATTTCTTTTGCTATATATCGGATCCGTCATCTTGAATTTTACAAGTTTGACGAAACAATCATCATCTCCAATTTTGAATAGAATCGGATCATAATTACAAAACTCGTTCGCCATATGATCTTCCTCAACAAGTAAATACCCTGTACATAACTATTATTAAAATTTTGAATGATTTTCTGTAGTGCCCATGAATGTGACGTGACAGCAATGTCAGGGATGCCAGTAGACAAAACTAAAATCTCTAGATCATTAAAAAAGAATGCAGCTATGATCTGTCCGTACCCTGTTAAGATGACTTTAATGTCAAATTCCATCAAGGGACCCTACCTAACCCTATCCTCCCTAGGAACGCACGATGTTCTTTGAACATTATAGGGATTACCTTTCGTGCGTGCCAAGCGATAAAAAAAAAATAAAAAAATAGTGCAATTCTTGCTATAAAATTATCTAGAAGGAAAGTAGAATATGCACCACCAGAAGAATTGAAGAGAGAGATAGTATCCATTAATTTGATATATTTTTACTATTACAGTAACCTACCTTCAGGTTGTTTATTTTTAATGATTCTCATTTCGTTGAAAGGCTAGAATAGAATACAACATTCATCCTACAAACTTTTATTTTCAAAGTGTTCATCATTATATTACTATCATTTTATCATCATCTTTTTATGCAATGAAATGCAATATGAAGTAATTTCCTAATTGACTTTCGCTCTCTACTTACTAAGAATCTCTCTTGATTCAGGCAACTATAACAACTATTAGGTTATTAGATAAGTGCTTAGTACAAATAAAACAGATCAGAAGATAATGAAAAATGTCAATTGGCTTGTCTTCATATTTTTGCAACATAAAACAGTTTTGAAAAATAAGAATTCATCGATAAAATATTTGAATAACATGCTATTATCATTAATATTTTTTCCAAAACTTTATAGACATCATATTCCGAAACAATCTCAAAATATTCCGCTTTATTTGACCAACAAGCCGAGAGAAATCGGAGAAGCAAAGTTAATGAAATAATGAGAGAAGTGAGAGTAAGTTGTAATATAATCCCCGATCAACAAAACCACCCCGGCTCGCAAGGGGGTGGCTCCATCCCCTTTCTTTTTCCTCCTCGGACAAGTGTACCATGTACAGTGTGGTATATAGCAGGCTGGCATTAAACACACATTAATGTGGGGCGGGGCTGATTTCACAATAAGTTTATTTTGCAACCTGATAGAGAACACACACTTGCGCCACAGGAGAGGACCGGATTCCACAAATTCATAGCCACCAACAAAAACGAATCTTTGAAAACATTTTTTTTTCTGTGGCGGGAAAAAAGTTTGGCATTTCATCTCTGTTGACAGGTTATAAAATGTCACTTTTCATAAATTACTTTTTTCCCGTGGGAAAAAAGTGAGTACTTTTTTCCCGGATATATATCACAAATATATACACTGTTGATGGCTTTTGTTGTGCTATAGTTCCGAAAAATGAGTCAATATTACCGTCTCCGACTCCGAGAAAGAACTGCAAGTCCTTTTATCTTCTATTCGACTTCGCAGTTACGTATATAACTAAACAACCACTAAATTCGCAATTTTTTGGAATGAAATCACAGAATAAGACTGACAGAAGTGACATCAGATATTTGATTACTTCAAAAGAATGATAAAGATGCCTACAACGCAGGTGTCCCTGCTGTTGAAAACTTAAAATTTCACGTCGATAATTTTCAGATTTCAAAATAATGTAATATCTTCTCAATATTGATTCGTCCTTCCTTCTGTCACAGAAAAAAATAGTGTATTATACACGGGAAAAATATTAGATTTTAGCTCACGGTTTGCCATTTTTCAAAATTTCTCGATTTCCACCACAGAGTCGTTCATTTCGATATCGAATTAGTCCATGTGAATTTTTTCAGATTTTTTATAGACAATATAGTCACCGAGCCATCTTCGGACGACCGAAAGTGCCAGAAAACGGCAAGAATTCACGAAAATTTCCGCTTTCCCAGTGAAAATGTCCTGCTGAATCGAATGAGACCATAGTCAGCTCCGTAGGACAGATAGTTTTTGAGATATCGGCGCTCAAAGTCAGCTTTTCGCTTTTTTTGCCAATAGGAGCATTCCGGTAGACGATACTACGTCTCCATTTTTCAGAATCTCCAGATTTCCACCACAGATTCGTTCATTCTGATATTGAATTAGTCTATGTGAATTTTTTCAGATTTTTAATAGGCCAAATAAAAATTTTCATTTTCACACCAAAGACTTCCATACGATATTGTCACCGAGCCATCTTCGGACGGCCGAAAGTGCCAGAAAACGGCAGAAATTCACGCGAATTATCGCTTTTCCAGTAGAAAATGACCTGCTGAATCGAATGAGACCATAATCAGGCCCGTAGGAGAGATAGTTTTTACTTTTTGTGCCAATAGGAGCACTCCGGTAGACTACTACGTCTCCGTTTTTCGAAATTTCCCGATTTCCACCACAGATTCGTTCATTCCGATATCGAATTAGTCCATGTGAATTTTTTCAGATTTTTAATAGGCCAAATAAAAATTTTCATTTTCCCACCTAAGACTTCCATACGATATAGTCACCGAGCCATCTTCGGACTCCCGAAAGTCCCAGAAAACGGCAGAAATTCACGCGAATTATCGCTTTTCCAGTAGAAAATGACCTGCTGAATCGAATGAGACCATAATCAGGCCCGTAGGACAGATAGTTTATGAGATATAGGCGCTCATAGTCAGCTTTTCGCTTTTTTGCCAATAGGAGCACTCCGCGGTAGACTCCTACGTCTCCATTTTTCAGAATTTCCTGATTTCCACCACAGATTCGTTCATTCTGATATTGAATTAGTCTATGTGAATTTTTTCAGATTTTAAATAGGCCAAATAAAAATTTTCATTTTCCCACCTAAGACTTCCATACGATATAGTCACCGAGCCATCTTCGGACTGCCGAAAGTCCCAGAAAACGGCAGAAATTCACGCGAATTATCGCTTTTCCAGTAGAAAATGACCTGCTGAATCGAATGAGACCATAATCAGGCCCGTAGGACAGATAGTTTTTGAGATATAGGCGCTCAAAGTCAGCTTTTCGCTTTTTTTGCCAATAGGAGCACTCCGGTAAACTACTACGTCTCCATTTTTCAGAATTTCCTGATTCCCACCACAGATTCGTTCATTCTGATATTGAATTAGTTTATGTGAATTTTTTCAGATTTTAAATAGGCCAAATAAAAATTTTCATTTTCCCACCTAAGACTTCCATACGATATAGTCACCGTGCCATCTTCGGACTGCCGAAAGTGCCAGAACACAACGTGGAGCTAAAATCTACTACTTTTTTCCCTTGTATAATAAATAACTATTTTTAGCTTTCAAATTACGCCAAAGAAACCAAAACCTGTTGAAAAATGAATAGGTAATCAGTACCAAAATACTGTTATTCATTAATTGGAGATACTTATATTATTATCAACACACAAAGTTTCTATAAAACAACATCTCCAGTTCAATAGACATATCTCTATACACATTTGCAAAAATCTAGGACAATGGAGGTATATCGGTATTTTCCTCGTCGGTCTGATAAAACATCGTGACAAGAAAAAAAAAATTCCGCCAAAAAATTTTTCTTCTGTAAAATTTGTATTCTGATGGTTACGAGATATTAGGAGATCACCTCACCGAAACCAAACGCTCGTGTTCGGCTGTCAACTTATCTGATCAATAATTTGCAGAAGTTCCAGACGAACTCAAAAATTCAATATCTCTACCAGAATGAATACATTTTATTTTTTCAATTGATGAAATCAGAACCAGTCCGGCCCTGTTGAAAATCAGAAACGGTCCATCGTCCTCAAAGAGGGATGATCGGGGCATATCCCGATAACCACCTACTATACAGGGGTGGTGGGTGGTGATAACATATTCGGAAAACCGCCGATTTTCTTATTCCCACCCCGACAGGTCCAGTAAGCACATTAAAAATCACCCGCGGTATGTCATCGCAGTTGACATAGATACGACAAACACGTCAAACAGACTTGCGACTTTTACGGAAAAATATTAAGGAAAATAAAACATGTTCCCCGCGAATTTCCATTCGAACGGTTCGTCGGAAAACATTTCCAGATACGTGACAGGTTCTTCCGAATTGCTGGTACCGGGCAGAGTGACAGCTGCTGCCGGTATACCGCAAGGTACCGCGACAGTGCCCATAGAACCTTACAAACTGCTCGGACACACGGACGTTCAACAGGTAAATGTTCATTTTTAACATAGTTCAACCGTTTTTTTCAGACAATTTTGTAGAATTTTATAAGTATAGAGTAGTATAGATGATCGCGTTGTGAACACTAATTATAAATCGTGAAAAAGCCAAATTTGTAATACTTAAAAGACTATTCTACTCTTGTTCTCGATAACCAATCAAAATCGACCATTTCACGGTTTTTTCTTCTGTATTACAGCGACATTTTTTTGTTTACTAAATTTCATCGGACTTGCTCTACCCATACAGAAGCGGAATTGACCCACACGTGACTTACCAACCTCGTTTTTCAGCGATAAAATCAAGTTGGAAGCCAGTGTGCGCAACTCGAACGCAGCGCTTGTTTCTTCTCTCAATCATGAAATATTCATACGAAGACAACTTGTGATACCATTTTTCCTGGAAATATCCGTCGATTGACATACTCCAGCTTGCTGCTTCAATTTCGTTCATGACATTGATCCAAAACGGTCGACGGAGTTTCATCTGACTCTCTTACCATAAATGCTGGTGTTCCGCAAGGATCAATTCTAGCACCAACACTATTTCTACTCCATATCAACGATTTGTTGGGAGCAACTTCATGTCCAGTACACAGCTTCGCGGATGATAGTACCCTCCATACCGCAATCTCTTCCAGGGCTCCAATACCAGCCAGGCAAATCAGAAACGAACGAGGGAGAAATGTTGACAACATAAATATGGACTTGGCAACAATTCTCGAATGGGGATCCGACAACTTGGTAGATTTCAATGCAAACGTATGCCTCTTCTCTAGAAAAGCCGATCTCACTGTGCCAAACATAAGCTTGTCAGGAGTAACCATATTTTTGAAGACATCCATTTCGATGCTTGGTATTACTATCAGCAATAGCCTTTCTTGGGAAAATCACGTGAGATCAATTGCATCCCACTGACTTCCAGCTGCTTATGATCTATAGGGCACAGATACGACCTGTCCTGGAATACTTTTCCCATATTTGGAGTGCAGCACCCAAACATACCCTGAAACTGTTGGATTCTGTCCAAAAAAGGGCAATTCGTCTCGTGAGTGATGCCTCGCTCACAAACTCACTCACTTCTCTGGAAAACCGTAGAAAAATTGGCGATCTGGCTCTATTTTATAGATATTTTCATGGACGATGCTCTTCTGAGATATCAACAATTGTACCTCCCTTGGCAGTCTCCGCGAGATTAACCCGTCGAGTTGAGGCCTCGCACCCTTCGTGGTCACTTTGGAGACCTGCAGAACATCTCTTTCCAACGACTCGTTCATCCAACGAACAGCGAGGCTCTGGAACACATTGCCAAGGGAGCTGTTCCCCAAGGCATATAGCCTCCAGAAATTTAAGAAGAACACCAATTCCTACCTCATTTCCCTTGGTTCTCTGAACATTACAGGATATCCCTTTTCGTGAGAACCAGAACATAAAAAAAACTCCTCGCTTGCGGCAAGATTGATCAAACCCAACCATGACTTGAACTATTTCATTATTTGTTTATATAGGCCGCATACTTTTTCTAGACAATTTTCAAAAAACTAGGCCTTAACCTTCAGGGTATCCGGCAAAATTGTGGGAATTTCAACTATGACATAGACCTCTAGTGATGCCAACTGGTGAGAGTGAAAGCGTTATTATTTTCAATTTATTTCGGTTTCCAGATCAGAATTATCTCATAGGGAACAATAAAAATATCTCAGTTCATTCGATTTACATCTCGAAAAATGAATATTAATTTTTTAAATCACTAATTGATTCTTAATTAGTCCAGGTCATCTAATAACTTCATGAATACCCCATTAAACTCAGACAATCCCACACCAACACCCACTAGATTCAATTCCTCTACTAATCGTCCACCTGTCCTTCCAGATTTCGGTCGCATGTACCAAAGGCGGCACCATAGATCTTGACGAAAAGTACAAGGACGTTTGGAGCCCAATCACTCACTGGATTCGAGCGATACGTCTTTCGGACGACTGTCATTCGTATAACGTGCAGCTGAAGCTGCATGCCGTCTCCAATCAGGCTGCTGACAGGCTTCCGAAGCTGATGCTTCAAGCCGTCAGGCCTGTAGAAGCGGGCCAGGAATTATTGTTGTGGTTTTCCGAGGATGTTTTGGCGACTTTGCAAATTGCCTTTTTGACGCCTGCCAATATACAGGGTAAATATACATACATTGAAAATTATAATTTCAATATTTGTTCATTGGTGGTTGTTTTAGGCCAGAAAAAATACGTGTGCAACAGATGTTCCGCTCTGTACGAGTCTCCCAATCCTTTGAAACTTCACATAACTTTAGGTTGCGGCAAGCTGCCCATCTCCTCTCTCTGGCAAAAACTCTCCAACTTCATGAACCAAACTCTCCACGTATCTCCGCCTACCATCGACTTCCAATTGACCCTTCCGAAATTCTCCGACAAACAAAAAAAACCGATAGACCTGACGACCAACACCGCTGGAGTATCAGGGAGCCCACTATACAGACCCTACGAAAAAGACTACTCTGTATCGGCGTTCAAACCGTTCCGGAAAGAGGAAAACGTCACCATCGGCCAGCAAGCCGTCCAGATCTCGCCCGCCTCGATGTGCTTCGATCCGCGCCTGCGCCTCCAAGTGCCACCTGTTGCCTACAACGACGAGGCGCATATCGAGACCTTGGTGAGCAGTTTGGGCAGGTCGAGACAGGGGCACGTTTGCCTGTATTGCGGCAAATGCTATTCGAGGAAATACGGTTTGAAGATTCACATTAGGACGCACACTGGATACAAGCCGCTGCACTGCAAATACTGCAGCAGGCCGTTCGGAGATCCCAGCAACCTCAACAAGCACGTGAGGCTACACGCTGAAGGCAACACCCCTTACAAGTGAGTATAGTTCTCTTTCACGCATCATATCAATTGCAGAGATAAATTGGAAGTAAAATATGTTTTGTGAAAATTTAAATTCAATCAGAAGTGGGATATTTTTTGTGGAAATTTAAATGCCATCAGAAGTGGGATAATCTGTTTTGTGAACATTCAAATTCAATCAGAAGTCGGTCAATATTCTTTGTTAGAATCTCAATTTTGATGATGTCAATTGTGCATCAAGAAATAAATCAGTAGGGGGATTATATTATTCTATTCGATTTGACAGATGATGTTAATTCTGAATTTCAGAGGATTTTGATTTTTCATGCTCTCTTTTTTTGGATATTCAACAGATATAATTCAATGTTCGACGTGGCAAATAGCCAGGAAAGTAGTTGTTTTCTGTTGGATATTCAGAATTATATTATATGCATATCTTCATATGAAGGAGAATGCAAATTCTCTACTTCAGAAGATTTTGTTTTCAAATTCTTAGATGAATCAGAAGTGGGATAATACTTGTTAATTCAAAATTCAATATGTGCTCTTATCATTCAATTATTCATGGAATATTCTAAATGAGATTATGTTGTTTCAGGTGTGATCTATGCGGGAAAATTTTAGTGAGAAGAAGAGACTTGGAGAGGCATTTGAAATCGAGACATTTGATCGAAACGCATCCCGGAATGAATCTGCTTCCAGATTCGCCGGAAAGCAAAAAAGAGATCAGCGATGAGGAGGCAAAAATTAGCGTCACGTGATATTATCTTCAGATTAATTCAATAAATTGTAAATATGAAATATACTTATATCGTTCCCAGAAAAATATTGCCTCAGGTGTTATTTCTGTTAGCTTGGTATATATGGCCACATGATTTATTATTGAATGTAGAACCGGTATTTATGCAGATTATTTTTGGAGAATGTGAAACGGACCGTCTTGACCATACTTTTTTTTGTTGTCAAAGTATTCATTAAAGTAATTAAATTGTTATTGTTCTGTGAAACAGGACGCTCGATTCAAAAATAGATGGTGTGGTTTACAAAAATGCCAAAATATAAAAAGTAAAGACGTCAGTGGCGTTACAAAATTAATAATCAGAAATATTTTAATTTGCTATACAAAAAATATTCTCGCACATTCTTATTCAACCTTTTCATTCAACAGATTGAAACGTGAGATCTAACGATCATTCAGTTGGATGATTCATGGGAACAAACTTCCCACTAATTTGATCATTAATCATGATAAACGATGCTACGATATTTTCAATGTTGATAATCTTATAGGAACATAATTTTCTTGTCGAGTCTTGGAATAGCTCGACTCGAATGGAAATAAAAAATCTAGATCCGCTTCTACATTTTTGCATTTTTATATTACTTTATTAGTAGCAGCTGTAAGTATGTTATTTTGCCTTTTCAATGAGATGATGATTCAGAATTCTTACGATTTGCCGGTATACGCCTGTGTCGTACTTGAAAAGTCACAAAAATTGGGGGGCAGTAAATTGAGCAAAATGACCAAAACCCTAATCCAACAAATCACAGAACAAAAATGTCGAAACTTTGGAACTATCCTGTAGACGTATTATATAGGGTGTTACAAAAGTAAGCATACATAAACATAAAGATAGCTGACCAAATAATATAAAAGTCTGTAGTAAGATATTTTTCTCATAGTTTTTTTAATTATCGAAATATATAGTCGTTGGATCATTTTTATGAAAAAATGATCATTCCTAATAGATATCAAACGATGTCTATTATAGTGATATAATTTTGGAATAATGGAAATAGATACTTTTGAATACGCAAGGCCTGCTTCAAGTGACTATAAGGCGAGTGGACAATTTTTTTTTATTTCTTAAATAGAATCATCACTCAAGTACCTTTCAATTTCATATTTTTTCAGAAATTTTCGGTATATTTTATGGTGCTGAGAATATGAATAATGCCACGGTGATTTTCAAACGGCTATAAATTTACCGCGAGTAAATTTGACGTCACGATTTCGTAAGTAGAGGCAGACAGCACAGTTGCCATATGTTGAAATACGATTGGGAACTTCAGAAATAATAGTTATTCAATAATTCATAAATTCTCAATTAGGTATTGGTAATAATTATCAATAAAAAAGCAATCGTCTCAAAATTTTCCCACATGTATTGTTGCTTATTGCTCATAATACATATCTGTAAATAATTATTATATTAATTATATTATATTATTAATTTGAACGGATAAACGTGACAACACGGCGCACGAATTGTGGGCGGTGTTTTGTCGGTTCTCAGCATTCAGCACATTGTTGCCAAGTCCTCAACATCTACATGATATTTTGTTATGGAGTATAAGAAATATTTGGACATGCAAGATTGAGCTATAATATCATCACTTCCTCCTATTATGTTTTATCTCGTGTTTCATTCTAATATCTTTCTGATGGCAACAGTTTCTGTCAAATAGCGTGTCATATTTCGATTGCCTTGTCTTTCGTCGATATCAATTATAATAAGTTTGAAAATTGAAGGGTCCAAGAAGTTGATCTTGTTATTATTTTCAACACCTAATTGACAGTTCAACAGTTTTTGATCCAATATAGTAAATACGATGATTTTGTTAATGACGACGATTTAATTCACATTTGACATCTGACAACTTTGTAGCCAACCTCACAATACGAAATGTCGAACTCTTGAAAAATTGGTCAATTGGATTAGATTTTTGCCTGACACTTTGTCGAGTTGAAACGTTTCGGAATAGAAGGTGCGCCATCGTCACTATCGTCAGAGTGCGAGGACATAATTATTGTCGCCATTTACAGCGCCAAGCAATGACAGCATCGAATTTGTATTCAGTATTAAAACTTAATATAATGCATTGAAATTGAAAGAAATAATATAAATAACATGAAGCATATAATCAATGCCAAGCAAGAACTATGCTGGATTATTTGGAAATACCTGAAATTCAATTTAGTCGGAATCTTTCGGGTTCTAGGAGATCGCAGTTCTTAGTGTTGAAGGCCTATATATAACAGCACCTACAGCATGAAGAAGTAATGAATATGTCTGAAGGCGAAGACTGAAATTAATGATATGGTAATATAGAGTTCACTGACAATAACTGGTTTGATTCGAAGATAATATTTTCATTTGGCAGATGTTGCAATCTGGCTAGCTATGGAAATACACATCAAGAAATAAAAAAGCAAAAAAAAACAGACAGAGGTTTCATTTTTGAATATTCGTAATCTATATTCAATTAAAATATTTTTGGTAAGTGGTAAGTAGGTATTCTATAAAAAGTATGATGATGAATCGTTATAGGCTTAGCTTATTGAGTCAAAAATCCCTTCTAGATCCCAGACAGCACAAAATATTCTATGGATGTGTTCACAACGATCACAACAGGCATATCTCGTGCAGAATATTCCGAAGAACGTTCATAGAATATGATAAGGATGTCCTGAATGTTCATAGAATGTTGTACGAGAATATTCATTGAGCAGCAATGAAACCAAATATCTCAGGACGCTCTTAGGGATTCTTCAAGCTGTGGTTTTGGAAAAATATTGGACCAGATGGATACTTAACTGGGTATACTTTGATATAACTTCCACCGTGCAACTTCATCTACCTACAAGTTTGTTTAAAAAGTACTTACTGTTATGGCACGTAAATAAAATTGTGCAAAACCATGTATTATTAGAAATAGTATACGTAGAGTACGTACCTATCAAATGACCAGGCCCAAAAACAATGAATTATTGTTTCAAATGAAACCAGAAGGCTCTTTTGGTAATTGTTAGCGTCGCATGAAAATCTCGAATGCTCATTTTCAAGGAATTAGTTTTCGAAAAAAAAAACAGATTCGCTCGCAAAAGACACAACAATGATTTTTACGTCCTCACGAAGGTAACATACCAGGGCGTTACAATATACGTGACACAATGAAGGGAGTTATACCGATATAAGATTTATACTAAAACAAGAATATTGCGAGAGGGCTGTATTGGGTGTTTTGTCAACGTTTCATCCAAATATTATCCTATATAAGATATAAGTCGGAATTTCAAAATTCCGGATTCTAACTCAGAATTTTTTTTTTTAATTCAGTGTCCCTTCCAGGGCTTCATATATATTCCTCTAATATCGATCCCCGAAATATTTTCCATGCGGTTTGAAACACCCTGTATACTGAGAATAGTTCTAGATCATTCTGAGGATGTTCTATATATTCATAGAATATATTGTGAGAATGTTCTGAAAAATATTATGAGTACGTTCTTGAAACGTGAATTTTCGCCCCATTTGCTTGTTCTCAGAATATTCCCAGAACGTTCAGTGTACCTTGTGAGAACATTCTGAAAATATTCGAAATCTCCCTCGGGAATATTCTAAGAACGTTCTCTGAATCACTTTGTGCTGTCTGGGACAGCAGTTGCAGTTTGCACACAAACTTATTTTTCAACAAAATTCATTACTGGAGAATTGAAACAACTACTGTGTGCAACACAGTCCGTACCAAAGGATCTCAATTTGATATTCTGTAGGAGTAGGTAGATTTGAGAAAAAGATGACATGCCTATTCTACAAGGTATCATACGAAACATATCCTGTAATGAGCTAACAGTATATACAAACATCGAAAAAATAACCATAGCAGCGAATTTCTGCGAATTCTACCGTTAGACCAAGAACTCCCAGCATCCGACAGATTTTTTCCCAAGGAGACCCGACTGGACAGCCTTATAAATATTATAAAACCTTTGATCACCTGTGTGTGAGCTCAGTAGTGAAGAAGTGCCACTAGAGGACAAATCAAAATCATACATAAATCATAGACAGACAGTGACCATGAAACCGAAAATACAAAGTTCGTTATTGTTTTTAATAATCGCCAGTGTGGGAAGCTGTAAGTGATTTTTTTTACACAATGAATAAGTGCGTCGGTGTGTTACCTACTAATAAGGATTCTTGCAAATCTTTTCCTGGATTGAACTACCCACATACAGGTCGTGCTACAATGCACAATGTAGCTAGAAGGATTAACATAAAAAACAACCCTTTTATCAATTTTCCATCTTCTTTGTTTCATTTTATTTGAAATTTCTGCTTCTAAAAGTTGCACCCTTAAAACATGCATCATACTTTCATGAGAATTATCAATTTGAACATCAGGACTCTACAAAATATCGATCGATAAAATTGTCCTGTATATTGAATCGCTATTCCAGCTGCAAAAAACTGACTTATTTATAGGTATTAATTTATCACAAAAATTGCAACAAATTGAAACAAGCCATAAACAACTCCTTATAACCGTCTCTGTCGTAGATAATTTGGAACTATTTCCTGAGATTTTATTGCGATTAGCACCACTTACGCTAGGCAACTTGAAGTTATGATTAAAATCGGTTTACGGCAACATAATCTGTTCAATCTTCAGATCCGGTTTATTCGCCTACGATATGTTTACGCAATTCTATTTGTTCTGAATGCCGTGATTTCAATGTGACTTATTACCGGAGTTGAAGATATGATGGCCTCCAAAAATTAATAAAATGAGATCAGCAGCAAACATTATGATGTAAACAGGGTTTCCCCAAAATAGGTGAAAAATTAACCAAAAGCCTTTGTAATTTTTCTTAATATCACTATTACTCAAATTCGTAATTTTTCTTACAGCACAAGCTCATGGAGTCAAAGGGGTATTCAAACAATCTTATAGTAAGTACCCATAATTGGAAACTAACTAACTAAAAATCGTTGTTTACGAAATTAAATTTGGAATCATTACTTTACAGATAGTGCATCTGCATCTTCTTCAGCTTCTGGTGAGTATCTCCTACCAATATCAATCAATTCATCGCAAGCAAACACGAGTTGACTGAATTCTTGTTACAGCATTCAGCAGCTCAAGCTCATACTCTTCTGATGGCTCTATCGGAATAAACGACCTGACCAACCCCTCAAACAACAACCTAGCTGCAGTCGCTACAGCTTCAGCAGAAGCAGGCTCCAATGGGGCAATCGCTAAAGCTGGATCAGGCTCAAATTCAGCATCAGGCACACTGCACTCAAGCGTCGATTCCAACACGAACGCTGGAGCCAAGATCCTATCATTGGGCCAAGGCACCTACCATCCTGATCTTGCCAGCTCAGGCTCATATTCTGGCTCAGGCACCCTCCACTCAGGTGGGGATACCGCTGGAGGCAATAAGATCCTATCGTTGGGCCAAGGCGCCTACCATCCTGATCTTGCCAGCTCAGGCTCATATTCTGGCTCAGGCACCCTCCACTCAGGCGTGGATACCGCTGGAGGCAATAAGGGCCAAGGCGCTTACCACTCTGCCCCTGGCAAGGAAGGTTGTTGCAAAGGGCCCTTCCCTGGACCTATCGGCAGCATTTACGACTTTAAACCTGCCCCTGCAAACGGTGGTAATCCTCCTTTGGTCCACGTACTCCCAACAACCACCTCAGCACCCTACAACGGAGTACAAGTCAATTATGGGTCCAATAACATCGAGGGCAGTTCGGGACTATCTTACAACCTGATACATTCCTTGCCAGGACCGACCGGAAGCATCTACGACTTCAAACCAGCTTCGCAAGCTAGCTCTGGCACCTTTAGCAGCGGTTCTTCCTATGGCAGCAACGCTGGCTCGAACTATGGTTCGCAGGTCCAACCAAGTCAACCTTCGATCAACGGAGATGTTTACGGCTCCTTCCCCGGCAAACCAGGCAGCATTCATGACAGCAAACCTGTCGGTGGTTGTTCTGGACCGTCTTGTCCAGGAAGCCAAGGATACTCTGGAAGTTCCTATGGCCATCAAGCTCCGAGTGTTGATATTCAGGCTCCTCTGCCTGGTACTCCAGGATCTATTTCTTTCACCGGAATCAAGCCTGTTTCTTCAAATGAACCAGGTATTTATCAGATATGCTCAGGGGCGTCTTGTGATCAATCTAGCACCTCTTTTGGACCTATTGAACCTGACTGTTCGGGAGGTAAATGCAAATCTGGATCATCTGGCAATGGTGGGTTATATCATTCTGTATCCACCGGGGGGTCTTACAACAAGCATACAAGTGGACAAGGAATTGACCTATCTAAACCTTCATACGAGAAACCACTAGGTTGTTCTGGATCATCTTGCAACCTCGGACCAATCCCTGGCCCTTCAGGGTGTTCCGGACCTGCCTGTAGCTCTCAGCCCTCTATACCAACATATGGATCGTATGGTGAACATAATCCATCTTATGAATCGTATGATCAGAAACCAGTTTGTTCTGGAGCTGCTTGTAAGCCTGGACCGATAGCTCAATCTGGCTACTATCCAGGCAGCTACGATCAACGACCATCTGGTATAAACATTGACCTTTCCAATCCCAACTCTGGACAATTTGGATGCTCTGGATCATCTTGCGGGTCACAACCTGCCAGTGGATCATCTGGTTCCTATCCAGATGTTCCTCACAACAAACATACACAAATTACGGGTATTGATCTATCCAAGCAGAAACCATCAGGTTGTTCGGGCATATCTTGCAATCTAGGACCTATATCTGGAGGACAAGGATGCTCTGGATCTTCCTGCGGTACGTATCCATCAGTACCAGCAGCTGCATCTTCCGCATATGACCAGAAACCAATCTGCTCAGGAGTTTCTTGCAATCTTGGACCGCAACCAGCAGTACCTACAGGTGGTTCCTATGATCAATACCCATCGAGCGTGAGTACTATTCCAGCTTATCCTCCTTATGACAAGAAACCGATTGGTTGTCAAGGAAGTTCCTGCAATTCAGGAGCAACGAGTGGATCCCACTCTGGATCATCTGCTGGATCTCATTCAGACAGCTCTAGTCAACACGGCTCAAGTACACACATCGATTTATCTCCATCCTACGATCAGAAGCCGTTGATAGAATGTTCCGGAGCTTCTTGCGACCTTGGACTAGTTCCTAAACCTTGCTCTGGATCCTCCTGCAGTCCTCAACCAACAGCAGGATCCCCATATATCGAGTGTTCAGGGGATTCTTGCGATCTTGGGCCGATTCCCGGTATATATGGGTGTTCAGACAGTTCCTGCGAACCGAAATCCACAGGAGATGCTGATGACTTCCACAATAGCCTTATTGATGTACGAAATGGGGAATCGACTGGACACAGCCAGCTGTCAGGTGGTTCCCTCCCGGGAATTTCTGGAGGGTCTTATCACACTTCCAACATCGCACCGTCATCCATGGTGGTACCCATAATACCAGTGACGTCAGGAGGCACTGTTGGAGCTAGTTCAACAGGTGAGAATATAATTATTCTTTGGGGCTTTATATTCTTGACTGATGAACTAATTTTTTTAGGTATTTCTGGAACCTATGTCAAAGAGACTCCTATAGTTTACCCAGGAACAGGAAATATTCCCCTTGAACCTTCTTCCTCTTCATATGGCAACTATGATGACTCCAAAGGAACAAATAATCTTGTTAACCATACACCAACTCCTGTCTGTTCTGGAAATGCATGTAAATCTCAGCAGCAAGGTAATTCGTGAATATCCGATGTTATTCTTAACATTGAAGATTTCCAATTTTTTTTAGGTGGGATAAATTCTGGATACGCTGGTGGCAATGTTGTGATTCAAAAATCAGATGGTACAGAGCACTCAGTGGTCGATGGAAATGAATTCAACAGCGGTTCTCACAAGCTTCATGGTGGAAGTGGTTCATACTCTGGAAGCTTCTCTGGAGGTACCTCTGGATCTTCAGGTATGGAACACTGCCAATTGAGAATGATCAATTTGTGCTAAACTGGTGAATTTGCAGGTTGTACCAATGGAAACTGTGGTCTTCCCAGTTTGGGAAGCGGCAGTGGTTCCGTAGGTGCCTTCGGACATGGATACAGTGGATCGAGCAGTGGTTCCTTTGGTGGTGTTAAGGGTGGCAGTGGTTCCTTCTCTTCGTCGGGCAGTTTCGCAGGTGCTGGTGGTCTGAAGCCTCTTTCAGATGTACTAGGACTTGGTGGGGCTTTTTCCAAGTCGGGCTCTTTCAGTAGTTCCCGGTCATTCTCGAAAAGTGAAGCTTCGGCAGCTTCTTCAGGTAAAGGGTTTCTCAAAATGTATAGGGTGGACCTAATTGGACACTTTCGATTGGAAAGTCCTATTTTCCAAACTACATAAACGTAAACTGATAGGTCAGTTTTTCATGACAAACATAAATATGTATTTACAAAAGTTGCGATAAGCAATAATAAAATTCTGTGACATTACCAGAGCATTGAGCATCAGTTTTCTTTCTAGTTCAAAAATATGGACCCATTAAAATTGTCAAATTTGGCTCACCCTGTACTTTTTTATCGATCCATAATTATTGAAAGTTTGAAACTATTGTACGTTGTTCTTTTTCAGCTTTTTCAGGTTCCTATTCCAGTGCAGTAGCAGGCAGCTATTGAGAGTTTCGAAAATACTGAAGATATTATGTGTTTTCTTAGAAGTAAATTGTGATCTAAGTTATTGTGGCAGCGCCATCTCATGAAATGTGATCATATTTATAAATAAATAATATAAGAAGATTTTTCATAAGTAGATATTATCATTTTCCCGCATGGTTCATTTCTGAAGATTTAAATTCTAGACAGGTTCTTATAAATAAGCATATATTATAAATAATGCATATTGGTAACAGAGATCAAAATATGTTTTTCATGTACTTTTCTCAGCCGACTGAAGTAGTAGGGTTTTGCAATGTTTTTAAACAATTCGGCACACCTCTAAGCAACAATGATCATTAATTTCAGAATTACTGATAATAAAATGATTCACTTCATACATTCTTCAGCGAAATTTGCGTAGGTAGGTACCTGTGACCTTCTGTTCAATATCAGGTAAATTGTGACCAGAGGCAACATCTCATCAACATGACGATTCAAAAATAAATTTTGAATTGATCAAAATACCTGTCATGAAATATATAGGATATAATTAATTATAAGAGGGGTCAATAACACTGTGAGATTAAGTAAATAGATATGGAAAGATATCGAAATATTCAGATAAAAATGATTTTTTTTAGAAATTTTTATGACGATGTACAGGGTGATTCAAACTTCCCACCGTTGGCTCATAACAGGAAAAGGAAAACTGCAAATGCAAATTTGGCAGAGGGAATTTGAATAGCTGTGTGTAAGGAATATTTTTTGGTATTCGAACATTTTTCAAAATGGCGGAAAAGGCGTCAAAAATAGTCCATTGTTTTATTAGGAAGAGAAATGTTAACTTCAAGAGCTAATTTTGGAACAAAATTTAGGACGACTTTTGAGCCGACTGCCGATTGATAAATATTTATCTAGAACATTATTTTCTAGAAATAATGTTTATGGCAAAACAAAGTTTGCCGGGTCAGCTAGTATTAGTATAGATTCGATTTGGAATAAAACTCATGTTCGATATACATATAATTTTTTATTCGTGGCTTACATCTAATAACAAAATTACAAATACAAAATTTACATTATATTTACATATTATGCATTTCTAAAGTTGAATCCAAACTGCCAGAGATTTATCGCATCAATCATGCAATGGCTATTCACCACCAACCACCTAAAAATAATAAAGAAATGTACAGGATTATCCATCGAGTAAGCCCACCCCTATGTTATTAACGTTATTATTTCATAGAGAAGAGAAAATAATATGCAAAAGTTGAATCCCTTGAACACTTTGTATCTGCAACATTTCTATGAAGCAAGTTGGGTTGAATCTTCATATTTTGGTGTTTACTAGCTGTAGTTCAGAGATTTCTCCTTTCTGAATTCAATAAATAAAGTTATTAAAACATATATTTGTTCAAGAATCATCAAAAACTGGGAAAAATTTTGTCAGAGATTCAAAAATTCAAAATTTGTGACTATAAGTATAATAAATGGATATATGAAAATCAAAAATAGGAAAAAATCAAGAGAAACCATCACTTCCTCAATCAATCTACAGAGAGAGTATACCATACCTGATGATTTCCATCCCCCGTTCCAGCCTCCTCCATATCCTTTATTCCAGCCGCCTCCATACCCCTTATTCCATCCGCCCCCATAATATCCACCCCCATATCCGCCTCCATACCCGCCCCCATATCCACCTCCATATCCGTCATTCCACCCGCCTCCCACCTTGATGACTTTGACGCCCCCATAGCCCCCGTTCCAACCCCCACCTGACCCCCAGCCGCCCCCGTAGCCGCCCCCATAACCACCCCAACCGCCTCCGTAACCTGAAAAAAAATGGATAACTTCAAAATGATAGATCGGATTTTTTTTATGTTCTGGTTCCCACGAAAAAGGATATCCTGTAATGTTCAGAGAACATCGTGAGAACCAAGGTAAATAAGGTAGGATTTGGTGTTCCTCTTGAACTTCTGGAGGTTATATGCCTCGGGGAACACCTCCCTTGGCAATGTGTTCCAGAGCCTCGCTGTTCGTTGGATGAACGAGTCTTTGGAAAGAGATGTTCTGCAGGTCTCCAAAGTGACCACGAAGGGGTGCGAAGCCTCAACTCGACGGGTTAATCTCGCGGGGACTGCCAGGGAGGAACAATTGTTGATATTTCAGAAGAGCATCGTCCATGAAAATATCTATAAAATAGAGCCAGATCGCCAACTTTTCTACGGTGTTCCAGAGAAGTGAGTGAGTTTGTGAACGAGGCATCACCCACGAGACAAATTGCCCTTTTTTGGACAGAATCCAACAGTTTCAGGGTATGTTTGGGTGCTGCACTCCAAATATGGGAACAGTATTCCAGGATAGGTCGGATCTGTGCCTTATAGATCATAAGCAGCTGACTGGAAGTGAAATAGCTCCTGGCCCGAAACAGAAAACCAAGTTTTTGGGATGCACTTTTAGCAATTGATCTCACGTGATATTCCCAAGAAAGGTTATTGCTGATAGTTATGAATCACAAGAAATATTCACAAAATTTAAGAAATACCAAGAGGTTTCTCATAATTTGTATGGATTTTTGGGTTGAAATTTTGATTAATTTTTTTCATGTAATATATCAAGAATTAATTATTTGAAAATGGTGCACAAAACATTTTTCACCTCTACAGAACAGAAGACACCACCTCAGACACCAAAAAGAAAAAGAAAATATCAAAGTTTCTTGCACTATACCTTTTTCAGTTGTATTTCAGAATAGTCATTAGTAAAAATGTTCTGAATATTCGAGATGATTCTGTCGCTTCATTTTTGTGTTGAGTTGCCAAGAAACACTCGAACTTTTTTTCAATTGGTTGAATTTCCTTACTAACTCCAATATTTTTCGTCAGTAATTTCTCTCTAAAAACTGACATTAGACAAAATTGCTCGACCTACGGACTCGCGATTTTTTCATGTCAGATTGGCAAATGTTTTTCGTTACTTTTAAAACCATTACTTCATTTGGAATAGCAAAATAATGAATTCTTGACATTACTATTGAGATCTGTTTCGTACAATATGACATATGGGAAAAATAATGAAATTAAAATTTTGAAACAAACCTTCACAGTAGACAGCCAAAGCAGTTAGAAGCAGCAATCCAAATATGACCTGAAAATAAAAGAAGGAAGAGATTACACATCATAAAAAAATCAGTTAGAATTGACTATATAAAACACTGATGGCAATAATAAAGGAACTAAACTTTTTTAGAATGAAAATCACGAATGACTATTGAATAAAATTACAATTAACTGAATAAAATTTCACTTCTTACCTTCATGTTTGTTTGAGAAAAATTCAACTGAATACAGATTGAAGCAGGATGAGTTTTATATACCAACTTGTTCAAAGAGAGCCTTGGCACCTCCCTTACCAGAATAATGTTTTTTTTCGTAACTTCTCCCAGATTCAACGAACATTTACCTCAATTCAAATGAGTAGTCTCACAGTGGCGTACAAACTTCTCATCAATGGCGAACCGTTTTAAAAAATAGATAATCATACAGTTATTCAATTCTTACTCAAATATATTGCTATTTGATGTACAAGAATGAAAATTATTTATTTCTGCTTCAAGAATACAAAACAAAATATTTGGAGATTGGTAATTTCAAATCAATAATAGATCACTGCCACTTTTATACAATGAAACATGGACGGAAGGTTCGTTTTTCCAATTTTTTGTCAGTTATCGTTACAGTTCAATTTTCAACTGAAAAATCTTGGAAAGAGTGCAATTCTTCTCACAACCTTTCTGTGAAAATATAAATACACAAAGTACTTAAGAAAGCTGCGTTATAGATATTTGTAGAGACATTTTTTTGAATAATATTTTGAGTGTTGATCAGCATACCGATATTAGCCATTGATTGCGTCATGGATCTAAAGATCAAACATTTTATTATTAACTACAATAAATGTTCAAAATGTCTGCCGTGAAAATTGGCACCATTTTATTGCAGATTTCATTTAAAGTCTTGAAACAGTCTCATACATATAATTTCAAAAGGGGCTCAACAAAAAATCACCAAATTTTCTACAGAGCGGCAGCATAAAATAACTGAATCAACGAATGAGATTCAGAGACCCAAATTTTTTCCGACAATTCCGATCATGTAGTACATGGTAAAATGTTTAGCAGTTTTGATATTTGGACAGTATACCTACCTACTAAGTAACGCTAGTTAACCCTTAATGGTTTTTTTCTGAAAAAACAACATGTATTCTTAAAAAAAAACGACCCATTAAAATAAATTAATAACAATCCTTATTAAATGGACAACGTTTCCTGATATTTGGTTTGTGGATTCAACAAAACTAATGGAAGACAACATTTTTCTTAATTGATACAAAGTTACACAAGTCAAAACATTATTTCTTGGGACATGTGCATCCATGCGCATAAAATTTGTGAAAGAAAAAATCACGAAGGTGACATAGTTTTATTGTAATCAATGTTATTTAAACAAACTACGTGATTTTAGGCAGAAATGAAAGAAATTGAATAGCTTTTGAAGACCATATCTACGCTTAATTTGTTTGGAAATGACCCCTCCCTACCACTCCACTACTTTTGATCCATGACTTATGGGACACCATGTATATGAATGATGGGAAACCATGAATATTTAATTGCTACCAACCAGAGCCAAAAAATTCTCAATAACTGTGTATTTTTCGAACTCGAATTATTGGAAAAATAGGAATTCCAGATTCCAGATTTACCTTATTTCTACGCCACTCAAGAAATGCAAATAATGCTGGTTTTACTAGAGATACCTATACCTACCTGCCTATTAAGTTGAACAGGTTGTTTCCTAAAAAATCAGATTTATTGAAGATCCTAATTTGATTAGGTGAGAGGTCACAGTCTCTAAAAAATTGTTTTGTTGAGTGACCACATATACACAACAAAGTATTATATAAAACAAAACCAAATACCTTTAGATATCTACCCTGTTCCAACTCTTATTAGTTATATATATTATAAGACGATTTATCAATTTATTCATTCAAAAATAAATATTCCTAGAATGCGACGATAGAACACAATTAATGATACCTGATCCTGATAATATAATCAGATTCGTAAAACTGATGAATACATTTTGTGGGTTTGTGTAAACGAGGTCGA